TCTCCTCTTCTATCTGGCTCCTTACTTCTCCTCTTTCTATCTCTTCCTTCTTCTCTTCATATGGCTCTTTATTTCTTCTTTCTATCTTTCCTTCCTTTCTCTCTTTCTATGTTTTCTCTCTTTCTATCTGGCTTCCTTTCTCTCTTCTGGCTTTCCTTTCTCTCTTTCTCATCTGGCTCCTTCCTTCTCTCTTTCTATCTGCTCCTTTCTTTCTCTCTTTTTTCTGGCTCCTTCCTTTCTCTCTTTCTATTCTGGCTCTTTGTTTCTCTCTTTCTTATGGCTCCTTCCTTTCTCTCTTTCTATCTGGCTCTTTCTCTCTTTCTATCTCTCCTTTCTTTCTTTCATTCTGGCTCCTTCCTTTCTCTCTTTCTATCTGGCCTCTTTCTTTCTTCTTTCTATCTTCCTTCCTTTCTTTCTTTCTATCTGGCTCTTTTTTCTCTCTTTCTATCTGGCTCCTTTCCTTTTTCTCTTTCTATCTGGCTCTCTCATGGTCTCTCTTTCTATCTTCCTTCCTCTCTCTCTTTCTATCTGGCTCTTTGTTTCTCTCTTTCTATCTGGCTCCTCTTTTCTCTTTCTATCTGGCTCCCTTCCTTTCTCTCTTTCTGTTCTGCTCCTCCGTTCTCTCTTTCTATCTGGCCTCCTTCTATTCCTCTTTCTATCTTCCTCTTTTCTCTCTTTCTATCTGGCTCTTTATTTCTCTCTTTCTGTATGGCTCCTTCCTTTCTCTCTTTCTATCTGGCTCCTTCCTTTCTCTCTTTCTATCTGGCTCCTTCCTTTCTCTCTATCTGGCTCCTTCCTTTCTCTCTTTCTATCTGGCTCCTTCCTTTCTCTCTTTCTATCTGGCTCTTCTATTTCTATTTCTCTCTTTCTATCTGGCTCCTTCCTTTCTCTCTTTCTATCTGGCTCTTTCTTTCTCTCTTTCTATCTGGCTCCTTCCTTTCTCTCTTTCTATCTGGCTCCTTCCTTTCTCTTTCTATCTGGTTCCTTCCTTTCTCTCTTTCTATCTGGCTCCTTCCTTTCTCTCTTTCTATCTGGCTCCTTCTCTTTCTTTCTATTCTATCTGGCTCCTTCCTTTCTCTCTTTCTATCTGGATTTCTCTCTTTCTGTATGGCTCCTTCCTTTCTCTCTTTCTATCTGGCTCCTTCCTTTCTCTCTTTCTATCTGGCTCCTTCCTTTCTCTCTTTCTATCTGGCTCCTTCCTTTTCTCTTTCTATCTGGCTCCTTCCCTTTCTCTCTTTCTATCTGGCTCTTCCTTTCTCTCTTTCTATCTGGCTCCTTCCTTTCTCTCTTTCTATCTGGCTCCTTCCTTTCTCTCTTTCTATCTGGCTCCTTCCTTTCTCTCTTTTTCTGGGATTCTCTCTTTCTGTATGGCTCCTTCCTTTCTCTCTTTCTATCTGGCTCCTTCCTTTCTCTCTTTCTATCTGGCTCCTTCCGTTCTCTCTTTCTATCTGGCTCCTTCCTTTCTCTCTTTCTATCTGGCTCCTTCCTTTCTCTCTTTCTGTATGGCTCCTTCCTTTCTCTCTTTCTATCTGGCTCCTTCCTTTCTCTCTTTCTATCTGGCTCCTCCTTCTTTCTTTCTATCTGGCTCTTCTTTCCCTCTTTCTATTCCTCCTTCTCCTTTCTCTCTTTCTATCTGGCTTCCTTCCTTTCTCTCTTTCTATCTGGCTCCTTCCTTTCTCTCTTTCTCTATTCTCCTTCTCTATTCTCCTCTTTCTATCTGTGATGGCTCCTTCTTTCTCTCTTTCTATCTGGCTCCTTCCTTGCTCTCTTTCTAATTCTGGTCTCCTTCTCCTTTCTTTTCTCTCTTTCTATCTGCGCTCCTTCCTGTTTCTCTCTTTCTATCTGGCTCCTTCCTTTCTCTCTTTCTATCTGGCTCCTTCGCTTTTGCTCTGTCTCTCTTATCTGGCTCCTTGCCTTTCCTCTCTTTCTATTCTGGCTCCTTCCTTTCTCTCTTTCTATCTGGCTCCTTGTTCCTTTCTCTCTCTTTTCTATCTGGCTCCTTCCTTTCTCTCTTCTATCTGGCTCCTTCTTTTCTTTGGCTCCTTCCTTTCTCTCTTTACTATCTGGCTCCTTCCTTTCTCTCTTTCTATCTGGCTATTCTTTCTTCTCTTTCTATCTGTTCTCTCCTATCTGGAGTCATCTGGCTCCTTCCTTTCTCTCTTTCTATCTGGCTCCTTCCTTTCTCTCTTTCTATCTGGCTCCTTCCTTTCTCTCTTTCTATCTGGCTCCTTCCTTTCTCTCTTTCTATCTGGCTCTCTTTCTTCATTCTCTCTCTTCTATCTCTTTCTATCTGCGCTCTTTATTTCTCTCTTTTGTATCTGGCTCCTTCCTTCTCTCTTTCTATCTGGCTCCTTTCCTTCTCTCTTTCTATTCTGGCTCCTTCCTTTCTCTCTTCTATCTGGGCTCCTTCCTTTCTCTCTTTCTATCTGGCTCTTTATCTTCTCTCTTCTGTATCTGGGCTCCTTCCTTTCTCTTTCTCTCTTTATATCTGGCTCCTTCCTTTCTCTCTTTCTATCTGGCTCCTTCTTTCTATCTTCTCTCTTTCTATCTGGCTCCTTCATTTCTCGTCTTCTATCTGCTCTTCCTTTCTCTCTTTCTATCTGGCTCCTTCCTTTCTCTCTTTCTATCTGGCTCCTTCCTTTCTCTCTTTCTATCTGGCTCTTTATTTCTCTCTTTCTATCTGGCTCGTCTATTCTCTTTCTGGCTCCTTCTTTCTCTGCTTTCTATCTTGGGCTCCTTCCCTTTTCTCTCTTTCTATCTGCGCTCTCCTTTTTCCTCTCTTTCTGTCTGGCTCCTTCCTTTTCCTCTCTTTCTATCTGGCTCTCTTTATTTCTCTCTTTCTATCTGGCTCCTTCCCTTCTATCTTGGCTCCTTTCCTTTTCTCTCTTTCTATCTGGCTCCCTTCCTTTCTCTTTCTTTCTATCTGTTTCTATCTGGCTCCTTCCTTTCTCTCTTTCTATCTTTCTCCTTCTGGCGTCCTTTCCTTTCTCTCTTTCTATCTGGCTCCTTCCTTTCTCTCTTTCTTATCTGGCTCTCTTCCTTTCTCTACTTTCTATCTGGCTCATTCTTTCTCGTCGTTTCTATCTCTCCTCTTTCTTCTCCTATCTGGCTCCTCCTTCTCTCTTTCTCTATCTGTTTCTTCTCGCTTTCTCTTTCTCTCTCTTTCTATCTGGCTCTTTCTGTTCTCTCTTTCTATATCTGCTCCTCCTTCTTCTATCTCTCTTCTCTTCTCTATCTGGCTATCTCCTTCCTTTCTCTCTTTCTAATCTGGCTTCCTTTCCTTTCTCTCTTTCTATCTGGCTCCTTCCTTTCTCTCTTTCTATCTGGCTCCTTTCTTTCTCTCTTTCTATCTGGGTTCCTTCTCTTTCTATCTGGCTCTTTCTTTCTCTCTTTCTATCTGGTTCCTGTCCTTTCTCTCTCTTGCGTATCTGGCTCCTTCCTTTCTCTCTTTCTATCTGGGCTCCTCCTCCTTTCTCTCTTTCTATCTGGCCCTTCCTTTCTCTCTTTCTATTCTGGTCTCCTTTCTCTCTCTTTCTATCTGGCTCTTTCTCTCTCTTTCTATCTGGCTCATTCCTTTTTCTCTTTCTATCTTCTTTCCTCTCTTTCTATCTGGCTCCTTCCTTTCTCTCTCTTTCTATCTATCTGGCTCCTTCCTTTCTCTCTTTCTACTCTGCCTCTTCTATTGGCTCCTCTTTCTATCTGGCTCCTTCACTTCTCTGTTCTATCTGGCTCCTTCCTTTCTCCTTTCTACCTGGCTCCTTCTCTTTCTCTCCTTTCTCTCTTTCTATCTGGCTCTTTATTTTCTCTTTTCTAGTCCTGGCTCCTTCCTTTCTCTCTCTTTCTTATCTGGGCTCCTTCCTTTCTCTCTTTCTATCTGGCTTCTTCCTTTCTCTCTTTATATCTGGCTCTTTCTTTCTCTCTTTCTATCTGGCTCCTTCCTTTCTCTCTTTCTATCTGGTTCCTTCCTTTCTCTCTTTCTGTCTGGCTCCTTCTATTCTCTCTTTCTATCTGGGCTCCTTTCTCTCTTTCTATCTGTTCTCCTTTCTCTCTTTCTATCTGGCTCTATCTGGCTCCTTCCTTTCTCTCCTTTCTATCCTTGGTTTCCTTCCTTCCTTTCTCTCTTTCTATCTGGCTTCCTTTCTCTTTCTCTCTTTCTATCTGGCTCTTTCTTTTTTATGTTCTTATCTTTCACTCCCCCTTTTCTTCCAGTGTCCCTGTCTGTCTGGTACATTCTCCACCGTGTTGCTATCTGCCTGGCTCCTTCATTTTTGTATTTACGTCTGTCTTACCATTTCCTTACTAGTTCCTTTCTATCTTTATTTTTTTATTATTATTATTTTTTTTTTTTTTTTTGCGTTTATGTTCGTCTGACACTTTTTTGGTTCTCATTTTGTGTTCATGTGGCTATCTGGACCCTTCCTTTTCATGTTTCTATTTTTTTTTTTTTTTTTTTCATTCTTTGTCTCCTGTCTGGCTACTTCCTCTCCATGGCCAGGTCGATCCAACTCATTTTTCAATTCAGTCTTTTTGGCTCATACTTAGCTTTCATTTTATTTATTCATCAATCCATTTTAATGAATTTCTTTACCAAAGTTTCTCATGCTCCAACAAGATGGATCTGAGTATATCTGCTAATTAGATTTTGTTTCTTGTAGAAATCATCCACTGATGTCCATCTTCGTCCATTCATATCCTATTTAACTCATTGCGGATGAAAAAGCTTTGGAAAAGATTGCCTTCAGAGATTGCAATGTCTCCGAATCTTGAGAAGTTTAAAAGATCAGCTGATATATTTTTACTACGTTGATAGATGATGATTTTATTTTCACATTATTTCTTATTTTTACATCATTTCTTACCTTTGGTAGTATGAATTTCAATTTTGATGATAGATAGAGAGATAGATAGATAATAGATAAACAGATAGATAGATAGATTTTTTTTTTTTGAACGACAAGGGAAACCGGGCCGCCAGCATCATCCGCGTTGCCAAGCGCCCGTGGACATAGCCAGAAGCAGAAGACGATGGCAGGAGTTGTATGTTGCAGAGCTGGCCTCGCTGCAAGGGGCCTCTACTGGCAGTATGCGAGGACAGCGGGAATTACTGTAAGATGGTGTTGTTGTTGCTATTTGCACGTGGGTTGATTGGGTTGTATTTTTTCTTTGGGTGAGAGAGAAGGTTTTATTATATGGGGTTGTGAGGGGGGATGCTCGGTGTCCCCGTCTGTGTAGTTACTCTTTTTTAAACGTTTATCTTATCTTGTTTTAATGTTGGTGGTAGTTACGTTAGAACAGGTGGATGGGATGGTTTGATGTTTTGATTGATTGTTGTCATTTTATGGGTTTGATTAAGTTGTGTTTTCATGAAAGTTTGTGGATCCTTGTGAGACATTTTTGTTGAAAGGAATATCGAGGAAAAAAAAACTTTTTACTTTTTTCTGTTTAGATTTATTGTTTTAGTTCGATTGTGAATTATTGTGAAGGATTTGCACACTTTACTGATTTCCATTAATTGAAAAATAGCATTAACACCAGTTCTATGCAATTGCAACTAAATATACATGTTGAGGATATTACTTTGGCCATGAGCAAATTTATCTTTATAAATGATCAAGTAATTACAGTTATGTCAAGTGTAGTAAGGCTGATTAATGTCATTTTATCAAGAGATGAGTAGCATTGGTGTGTAATAGCCTATTTACTTTAATATGTAAGACAAAATAGGTCTTTCATGAATAGTATATGCACAGAAGGACCATAGCTGTTTATTATGTGTTAGACTTGTTATATATAAGATTTCAGGTTTTTTCTAAGAGTATTTAATAATCTATAGTGAAATTCTGAAATACTAGAAAGGGGATAACACAATTTGGAACAAGCATCAAGAAAATGATTTAACATAATAACATTATTCTTTCAGACCCTATCCCTCCACAACCACAAGACTCCGCAGAGACAACAACATCTTTCGCAATTCAGCTCGCTTCGCACTTCCTCCAAGAGAGTGAGACAGCAGGGAGTATGTCTGTCTGCCAGGGCCTTCCACACAACTCCGGCAGCGCACAAACTGGTTCCCTTTATTCTGGCTGATATCGGAGAGGGGATCAAGGAGGTCGTTGTCAGAGAATGGTGATTATAACTTTTTTTCTCTGTGTGTTTCTGTCTTTCTCTCTTTGTGTCTTTCTATCTTTGTGTCTTTCTCTCACTGTGTCTTTCTCTCTTTGTGTCTTCTATCTTTTGTCTTTCTCTCTTGTGTCTGTCTCTGTCTCTCTTTCTGTCTCTGCCTGTCTCTCACTCTCTCTGTCTTTCCCTGTCTTTCTCCCTCTCTTTCTCCTTCTCCTTCTCCTTCTCCTCCACTTCTCCTCCTCTCCTCCCCCCTCCCCCTCCCTCTCCCTTTTTTTTTTTTAAGATCTAAAGTTTATTTATGTCTCAAAATCAAATATTATTAGTATTTTATATATTCTTTATGGCAAGCATCATGGTGTCTTATTCAAAACCAACAAGTAGAGTTGATAAGATTTATGAATCTCTGAGAATTACAGAATCTGATTGTAATATATAGCCAGTTGATATGATGATATATTTTTGTATATGCTTTGATGTTTTTATCAACTTTCTTTATTTTTTTTAATGAACTAATTAACAGGTTTGTGAAGGAAGGGGACACAGTTGCCCAGTTTGACAGCATTTGTGAGGTGCAGTCCGACAAGGCCTCGGTGACAATCACTAGCCGCTATGATGGAGTCATACGGAAACTCTATCATGAAGTGGATGATACCGCGCTTGTTGGAAAGCCTTTGGTGGATATTGAAGTTTCCAAAGAAGGTAACTATGTGGATATGATAGAGGATGTTTGATTATGTGCTATAGCATCTGTTCCTCTGCACTTGATAAATGATTTATGCAGTTTTATATGACAACGTTGATATAGGTCTAAAGAGTAGGTATTTCTCTATTCATAGATATGTAAACATACATTAGTTTATAGTCATATGGAGGCATGCACACACATGTACACATACATTACATTTGCACTGAAACTCTCACTCTCACTGTCACTCACTCACTCAGAGAAACATACTGAAATATCTTTATGAATGAAAAATGCAACAATATGGCCCTCTTGAACCATTGCACAAAATAGTGATATTTAATGATACTATAAACATTGCAGATGATTCTGTTGGAGCTGAGGTCCAAGAAGGGGAGGCCATAGCTGTTGGAAGACCAGCTGAAGATACAGCCATAGGATCGGGAGACTTCACATTACCAAAGGGGAAGATATTGACAACACCAGCTGTGCGAAGAATTGCCATGGAACATAAAGTTAGTGTTGCAATCTCTGTAGGGTGTGTGATTTGGTGTATTGAGGTGGTATTGGCACAGATTTGACTTCTTTGGCTAATTTTTCATTGCTGTGTATAATTGTACCTTCAGACTCTGCATATTAAATCTGGTGGTAGGACTGTGTCAAACCATTAAAGATCAAATAAAATGTTTCTAGTTATTGTATGCAAGAGAACTGTCTTAGAAGTAAGGTCTCTCCATAAAGCTGTCTGACCCCTCCTTGTTAGCTCACAGAATATTGCATACGTGTTTGGGGAGGATTGTTCATGTATGATTATGTTTTTCAGTTGAAGGGCAATTTTTACTTCTTGATATTTAGAATTTATGAAAAATATACTTTGTGTGTTTTGCACTGAAGCATGTAGCCTATTGTGGGGAGGAGGGGGAGGTATGTTACTAAGAAGCCTCTTGTGTAAGATTTAAAGGTTATATCTGGTACTTAAAGCCACATCTGATTGCAGTTATCAGGTTAATTCCCAGTAATAAATATAAAAGAAACAGAGGACATTTTGAACAGTGTGTATATATATAGTAGTTTACAGTGTTGATAATTTTTTTCCATGTGTTATTAAGAACCTCTGAAAGTACATGCACATTTCATTTCCCAGATCGACTTGTATGACGTTCAAGGAACAGGGAAGGATGGAAGGATCCTTAAAGAGGATTTATTGCAATATTTAGAGGCCAGAAAGAGTGGAAAGAAAGCCCCCACCCCCTCTGCTCCAGCTCGACCTGTTGTGACAACGACACCAGGTAAATCTTTTAGACTTCTGTATTGGTGTCTGTGAGGAAGTTTAGCTCTTAAGACAAGTTGATGGTCTGAAGAATGTTATTCCTTATATGACCTGTCCTCTTATTTATTTACTTGTTTTCTTAATTTGCTCATGAAGGTACACCATCAAATTGAAGGCCCTATCACACTAGTACTTTTCTCATCAGTTTTTTGTTTCTGTATGAACTCTCCAAATGGTCTTGACCACTGGCAGAGTATCACTGCAACCAGGGTAGCAAACATTCCTATACATACCACATTGTTTTAAAGAAATGAAATAAATGTTTGTACATAGAAATATTCTAGTATAATAGCATATGTTTACATGAACTTCTTTTATTTCAATTATCAATGACAAGAACATTGTTGTAGTACAGATCCTCCATTGCACAAGATCTAGATAGAAATATATCAGATGAAAACAGTCGCTACCATTGTAGGCATTTCACACAGAACTACAAAAATTGTCAGAAAAGTACTAATGTGGTAGGGCCTGTAGTTTGGTAAATTTTTGATACCTTTAGCCAGCTATCTGATCTTGATGTCTAACCTATATTGTATGTAAATACAGTTTTAGATATTTTTATAGCTAAGGAATATTGAATAAAGCCTTCTGCAATGTATATGATTCCTAATGCAATTATTGAAAAATATTAGTAGCATTGAACAAGCTAAGCTTAAGCAGTTGTGTGCACAAGCTTCAAGAAATATCTTTTTATGAAAGGCACTATTAGGAGCTCATGTACATTGCAGTGAATGTTTGCTCACAATCCTCTCTTAATCATTAGACAAGCCAGTGCCTCCACCTGCAGCTGCTCCTCCCAAAGCACCCCCCAAGCTTCCTCCGTCCATGCCAGTCATTCTAGGCGAAGACAAGGAGGTCGCGATCAAGGGCTTCCAAAGAGCGATGGTGAAGAGCATGACTCAGGCAATGGTGGGTGTTTGTTCATTTGTTTTTTTTATTAAAATGAACTGAACTGCTTATTTTTTGTACTCTTCTCCCTTGCTTTTGAGTCTGCCTGTTATTTTTCTTTTTGTGTTTCACTTTTTCCTCTTTTTTTTTGTTTCTGTTCTCTCTCTTTTTCTCTCTCTCTTTATCTGGCATTTATTGTGCTCTCTCCTTTCTGGTTCTCATTTTCTCTTTAATTTCGTCTGATCAGTCCATGTGAATACCTGATCATTCCTCTCTCTCCGGATTATTTCTCCATTTTCTGTTGCTCACAGAGTTGAGGTAGGTCTCTTTTATTATTTAAAGAAGTTTTGTATATTCATGAAGTATTTGATTGTTTTTTATTTTTCAGAAAATACCTCATTTTGGCTATTGTGACGAGATCGACATGACAGCCTTGGTTGGACTACGCAAAGAGCTGAAAGCCATGGCTGAAGTCCATGGGGTTCGGTTTTCATACATGCCGGTTTTCATAAAAGCAGCTTCCATGGCCCTATCCCATTTCCCGGTTCTCAATGCCTCAGTGGATGAAAAGTGTGAAAATATTACCTACAAGGTAAGCTGCTTTAGTGGTCAAGAAAGTGAGGGGGAGTTTTGTACATGATTTGTTACATTAACTCATAGGATTATAAAAGTTTAATTTAAATCAAAGTGTGCACTCATACTCTTATTCATAAACTCATTCATTTAGGCTACTTTAATTTACTGAGACACAAATGCACATATACTCACAAACATACACACACATGCATATCTAACCATGCACTCACCTGCCTGCCCACCCAAACACCTATTAGACCACACATCAGGCATTAAATAGAATTTCATGCTCTCCTCATTAAAAAAAGATCAGAAAATAATTATCAGTGTCTTTGGAATACAACAGAAAATTCTTTTATCTACAGGCTAGCCACAACATTGGAGTGGCCATGGATACAAGTGATGGCCTAGTCGTACCGAACGTAAAGGGGGTGCAAGGGCTCACCCTGCTAGAAGTTGCAGCAGAGTTAAACCGACTGCAGGAGCTAGGGTCACGGGGGTCCCTTAAGACACAGGATATTACCGGCGGCACATTTACAATCTCCAACATTGGGACGGTGGGTATTTGATCTCCAGTCGAGTTCAGTTGTTAGTGATTTTTGTTATATTGCTTGTGTTGTATTATTTGATTTAGTGTGTATATATGATGATATATTTTTCTTGCGTTTCTTTCTCTTCCCTTTTTTCTGTAATCTTTGTCCTTGGTTATTGGATATTTGGATGTGCAGGTGACAAGGAATTTTTATGATATTTCAGATTGGGGGCACATATGCAAAGCCTGTGATTCTTCCTCCTGAAGTGGCCATTGGTGCTATTGGTAAAATTCAGGTTAGTGCTAAAAAATTCATTAGTTTTCACAAGTTAACATTGTCTTGTTGTTATTCATTTGTGTTTACACTTGTGTATTTTATTAAGATGTATTTTGTATATGTTGATTTGTTGTGTTCGATAAACTTGTTATGGTTCTGTAGATATTTCTGAGTATTTATCTTTTTTGGTTTAAACTATTCAAGGTAAAGTGAAATAAACATGAAATAAGCTGAGGGTAAATATCTTAATCCATTGGTGCTAGGATGTCCACTTTGATTTTGATATATTAAGATTGCTTGCACATAGATGTCTCCATGGAAGTCAGGGAAGAATCATTACTAGTCTTAGTTATCTCCCCTGTTTACTCTTTTCCTTTACTCTTTTTAGAAGACATTTTTTCCTGAAAATTTAAGGAATAGGAAGGTCATGTGAGGTGATGTAGGGCTTGCTTTAGAGCCATCTGTGTTAAATGAAAGATTTTGACATTTGTATTTAAATTAAATAGAAATAGGGCTAGTAAGAAATTTAATGTTTCAGTAAGTTACTCTTTCTGGTAGTTGTAAGGTTGAGAAGGGTATTATTTGGCTCTGGTGACAAATAGATGTAAGTGTGTGAAAGTATTATGCTAACTGAAAATGTAAGAGGGCCAGGAATAGTGTACAACTATGTGTGTAGGAGGATTTGCCTAACAGAATTGAGAGCAAAATTACAGGAATGCTAGAATAACTGTAATTGAATTCTTTTTTTCTCTCTTACAGGTTCTGCCAAGATTTGATTCATCAGGGAATTTAACCAAAGCGCACATAATGCAGATCAGCTGGTCAGCAGATCACCGTGTCATTGACGGGGCAACCATGGCCCGCTTCTCCAATCTCTGGAAGTCGTTCCTGGAAAACCCAGCTACTATGATTGTACACATGAAGTAATGGCATTAGTAGACATTTAGTGTCACTTGGATGTAGGGAGCAAATTACTTGTGCCACTTACTCTTGATATTTTTGTACTGCAGGTCGTCAGTGGGTATATATCTGATGCTTTATGCTACCGTGCCATTGCTTGTAACATTAAGTGTTATTCAGGTATATGAATTTTATTGGGAAATCAGTATATAGCACCTCACACAATTATCCGCAAAGACTGTATATTGGTGTAAGTACTTAGTCTTTCCAAAGTTGGGTATGGTTAGTGAATGGATTCATCAGTAGATTTTGAACGGTTGTAAAACTGTGGTATGCTCGATGCTCAACACTGCCACATGCAAAAAAAAAAGCTGAGTGAAATCATATTCAGGCATTTCAAGTGCAAATTTAAACAAATAAGAATAGTTCAAAGCTGTTGCTATGGATTCTGTGAAGAGTTCCCATTAGGGTTAATATGTGATATGTTCTCAACATTACAGTAGTTTGATAGGCAGCAATGACATGTTCCTTCAGGCATGGCAACAAGATTGGGTATCAACTTTGTCACTGAATCTCTCATTTTCATAGATACCGTTTTATGCCTGGAGTTATTTAGCAGTATAGTTATTGTGATAGTCATGAATTAGATAAATATTTTTATAGGGGTAGTCTTATGTAAAGTTTAGTCACGGCATTTCATTTTTTTTCCTTCCTCATTTGTATTTTCATTTGGTAGCTTTCCAGTTTCTCCGAGGACACTCATGTGCTTCTGAGGCAGTGTATTTTTTCTATTGCGATTAACAATTGTAATATCTTGCTGTTTTAGTTTTTGCTCATATTTAATGTGTGAGTAGATGAATTGTACAAATTCCTGAGATTGTTGTTAGCAGTTAAAAAATTCATTATTAAAAAAAATTGGTTGGTAGTTCCTCTTAATAAGATGTACACAGAGTTGATGATTGTTTACAGGAATTGTAGGGATAGATGTGTAAATAAATAAACACTTTTAGTACAAAAGATTGATTACTATCCCTGTGTGGTATGTGACACAGATTTTTATGGAATGATTTTCTGTTAACATAAATACAGGCATTGGCCATTTTCTGAAAGTATTTTGGTCATTAATCAGCCACCTGAATGAGAAACTTAAATTTCAATAATTTTTAGAAGGCAAGTTAAGTCTGTGGGCCAAAGTAATGTAAAGGCACAGCGAAGATTAGTTTCTGTCATTATATTTCTTATACCGTCATTCTAAGGAGATTTTCCCCAGCCAATCCCTTGCTCGTTGTTGTTGAGGGGCTCAGGACACAGAGACTGAGGCCTAATGTATGGGATATGCCTTTCCTTGGACCTCAACCCACGCCTCAACTAATTTTGCACAGTCTTTTCTTCTCCTCTCCTTTTCATTCTCTTCCTCATCCCTTTCTGTCCTCATCCTAAAGTGTGAGAGCCATGCTGAAAGGTTGAAAGGCTGGCTTTGTGTCAGGTGTGAATGGCCTTTGTACTCCATCTGCTTTTCCCTCTTTACCCCTTTCACCACCACACTGACCTACAACACACTACTACCTTTAACATCTAACATATTTTGTCCTAATTGACAACTTGTTTTCATCCTTTTTGCCGCAATACTTCATCATAGTGCTGTATGGCCTTTAATGTCTCTCACATTTATTTCTTTTGACCATTAACCATTCTGGGCATCCATAAACATTGCCTTATGAACCCCAAAAAATTACCTACCCAGGGGATTTCACCCCAAGCCTCACCCTATTGTTTTATATTGAATACACCGCTAATGACCTTAAATGTTGGTGAAAGAAAATTTTAGATGAATAAATAGATAAAGATATTTTTATTTTATTAATGTTGTTAATATAGATTTATAGCTAAGACCACAGTAGTGAGCTAAATAAGTTCAACAGAAAAAATTTATTTGATATATATTATCAAATAAAATTTAATTTTCTGGATGTGTCGTGTCATCTTTCACAATTAAGCCATTGAGTGCACAGTAATACTTTTAGATCCTATTCTTTGGTATGTAATCATAGAAAATAATTTTCTATGTGGTTAATGTTATTACTATTTTTTTTATTGTTATAAGCCTGGAGATGAACACTGAAGACAACATACAATGAATTAGTTAAAATTTGGAACAACCAGAACTATGCACCACAATTCATGAGTTCAAGTAGATTAATTAACTTCCTTATATGATAGGCCTAACTTGTAAAGGGATCATTTATGTAATTCTCCTCCACAATTTGCAATAAATACAAGAAATTCTCTTTTTCTTTAAACTTAATAAAAGATAATTGGAATATATTTAACTTCTTGTCACATCTGCTCACGGAAGCAATAGATTGATAAAAAGTAGTATAGCAACCCTTTAAATGGGGCTAGGTAATAGGGGTATCATCTAGTGAATAGAAAATTGAACTTACAACAGATTGAGGTTTGAGTAGCATTTTGTAAGCTATGCCTCAATGTCCACAATAAAGCATGATATCTTAAAGCTAATTAATCCAAGGATGAGAGATGTTGGTGAAAGATAACATCAAGTTTTGGTGATTTATTTGCTCTACTTCATAGACTAATCATTGTAAAAGGTTGTAGTTTCAAAATGGGACCCCCTTTTCGATATTAGTTATTTAATGAGCTAATGGAATAAAGTTGTATAAAAGCCTTTTTTTCTTTAAAGCATAAAAACAGAGAGGTTAAAAGATGACATTCTAATAGACTTATGAAAACTCTATAAGAAACCTTTATGGCAGAGCAAAATTATTTTTTAGAAAATAAAACATGAAACAAAACATACTGTTGAAGATTAATTCTTGCAGCGGTTACACACACACATGCACACACACACACACACACACACACACACACACACACACACACACACACACACACACACACACACACACACACACACACACACACACACACACACACACACACACACACACACACACACACACACACACACATACACATATATATATATATATATATATATATATATATATATATATATATATATATATATATATATATATATATATATATATATATATATATATATATATATATATATATATATATATATATATATATATATATATATATATATATATATATATATATATATATATATATATATATATATATATATATATATATATATATATATATATATATATATATATATATATATATATATATATATATATATATATATATATATATATATATATATATATATATATATATATATATATATATATATATATATATATATATAATATATATATATATAATATATATATATATATATATATATATATATATATATATATATATATATATATATATATACATATGTATCTTTATATATATGTTCATGCCTCTCTTAAATGTCTAATAATATGATAATATGACTTATACATGTTCTGAGAATAAAATCTGAAAAAAAGAAAAATTGAAATCACACGGACTATTGATAATTATAGGGATCAAAAGAAATTAAAGATTGATTTTACTGCTAGTAGAATTTAATAAGGAATCTAGGATATTTCATACAAACTTTTCTGAAAATTTCTTATACGAATCTAAAAGAAATGTAAGCTATAGAGATAAGATATCAAAGAATAAATCCACTAGAGTTGCCTAGATAAGACCGTCACTGGTGTTTATGCAACATGCAACATATTTCAAATTTCCCTCCACCAGCTGGCTTCATGTAAACTCCGAAAATTAGGACACTAAAATAAATTTCTACCAATCAATGAAATCCTCTTATATGTAGATGAACAACGGTACTATATACTTGGAGGATTAACACCCTTTTCTATTTTTTAAAGTAAGAATCTCAATTGACTCCATTGTACCCTCCGTCGGCCATCTTGGATCCAGAGTGAGAGACAGACACAAGAACCGCCAGGATGAACGTCGCTCGCGTAAGTATCTCCTGTTTTTAGATTTTTTTGGCGAATTACCGATATAAGACTGATTACATGAAGTAGTTGTCGATTATGGGATACGGGTTTACAGCCGTAGGAAGTAGTTAGAGGGTAATAAATGGGGTAAAAGAGGTAGACATCGATGATGCAACACGGATCAGCTGATCGAGGTTTTCCGTAGTTATCTGCTTCTGTTGCCGGCTTTGGCTTATATTTTCTTCTTCTCTAGGCCTTTCGGAGCCTCAAATGCATTATTAAAGAAACCCAAGAAGGGAGAAATGTATTTAGTATTACGTAATGATAAAAATTCCGAGATTATTTGAATTCCGGTCAAATTGCGACGTTTTCTGAACTATCTGATTTCAAGGATAGACCCTTGAATTTGATATTTTTTTGTAAATTGATTGAAGTGATTGATCTAAAATACAAACGGGAGTCCGATGTAATGTTTTAGCACATATATTTTTAGCTTTAGGGGTTTCAGTAATGAGATTTAAAGTAGTATGTCCTTAGAATTGAATGTTGGAGAAATTATTAGAAGCAAATTAGATTTTATGGACATTACTTGGTTTTATGGATTGTATGCTTTGTGTTTTGATACACCCTGAAAGTTGTATGAGATTGCACTATAAAGATACAAATAACATTTTACTTGAATTTAAGAACATCCTATGAAATGTAGAGTATTAGCGCTGTGGTATTTTTGGTCGAAGAATGGGGCATTCACTCCTTGTGTACCATTCAAAATAGGCACTGGATAGAGCTATGGCAGCTGTATTCGCTTATCCATATTCTAGAGTTACAGCAGTCCACTGCGCATTAGCTTTGACAATTCTTTACATTTAATGATACATTTGATAATATGCCCAGGTAAAAAATGTCAGAAATAAAGAAAATAGGTTACAGCAAATAGCGATGGCAGAGACCAGAGGCCACAGCCCTAATTGGGTGGGCAGAGATGTGTAGCTATCGGATGGGGATCTTTTACCCCCAGGTTTTTGGTTTGTATAGTAATTTTTGTGGATTCCCATGAGTGTCTGGAGTAATATTGATTAAGTTTCAGAGGGGTGTGGTCACTTGATGGACGATTACTACATTAGATACTAAATGCAATCAAAGGAAGGGTGTGTTCCTTTTGAGTCCAATTCTAGTTGATATAATATGGTCCATAAGCAAAGATGATAAATGTAGTAGGTGTAATTATAACTGTTAATGCTAGGAAATATTAATGATTGGACTACTGATTATTGAAAACTTTTTTCTATGAATTTATTGGCAACATTCTGTTTAAATCCACACGAGTTTGGATTTACCTAATGTGACTGCACTAAGATGTGGAAGATCTAAAGACGTCGTCTTAAAGAGAGAAAAACTACTCATTGCTAAATGAAATAATGAATGCAGGCAAAGAATAACATCAGAAATAAATAAGATGGGTCACAATAAATGCCACACAGAGATTGTCCAGCTTTATTTTACTTCTCAGTGGTAATTCTTTATCAACTTTTTGTTGGTCGTAAAGTCAAGACCAATCACTATCTTCCTCTTAAAAAGTTGCTGTACTTTTAATGCATTTGTCTATTTAAAAAAAAAGGGAATTATAATGATCAGGTAGGAATCCAGGGGTAAAGCCACTGTTTTAGGAAGGCTTTTAGTTCATATGATGATATTTGAGGATTCCCAGGAGTGCCAACAAAGATGTCTGTTGTAATATGGACTTTGGCTCAGAGGACTGCAGTTACTTTAAAATCAGCTCCCAGATATATGAAGTAATCTAAGCAGGAAAAAATGTCAGAAATTTAAAAAATAGGTTGCGACAAATGTCTGGGGAACCCTGGTAAGAAGGCTTTTTGGTTCATACATCAATGTTCATGTATTCCTTGGAGTGGCCCAAAAGTTCTTGGTGAGATTAATAGGAACTTAGTATGTGAAGGGTGTGGTCACTTTGTAATCAATAACAAAATTAGTTTTGCAATTTCTCGGTAAACATGAATTTTAACTGCCATTGGCAAAGACAGGCCAAACAGGCAGCAAACATTATATTATTGTGTAGTCTCAGCTGAGATGGAGCTTGGGTTATGGACTTGTATTTTTAAATTTTGATTGATTTATTTATTATTAATGTCTACTTAAAATGACACAATTGTAAGACTGAATATTTTCTGATTCCTCGCAATGCTCACACAGATAGGGAAATGTGGCCTCAAAAGTTATTTTAAAGATTAACTGTGCTCAGCCCAAATCTTTTTATTCTTACACAAGTCATAGTCTAATGATATGTTGCATACAAATTGAGATGGTATGGTATTTTTAGATTTATTTTTTCCATAGTTGCAGTCAACTTTTGCTGGGGGATTGATTATACCAGTTATTCCTTGTTATAATGGAAAGGGAGGTAAAGGTATTTGTATCCAGTATAGTGCTCTTCCTCTCCTCTCCTCTCCTCTCCCTCTCCCTCCCCTCCCTCTCCTCTCCTCTCCCCTCTCCTCTCCTCTCTTCCCTCTCTCTCCTCTCCCTCTCTCCCCCCCTCCCCACTTATATCCTAAGACGAGAAAAAAATACAAATGAAAATGACTTTCTTCACGGTGCAGAAGATGTATCACACCAGTTTTGATTATTTCTTCACTAGAAATACATTTGTAAATATAATTGAAACTGGTCAAATGCATCTCTTGCAATGCGAAGATTTTCTTTCTCATTCTTACATTTTTTTCATTTGCCACAAAGGCTAATTAGCTTTAATCTAAGGAAGATAGAAAAGTAAAATGCTTAAAAAGAGGATATTTGATTAATTAAAAGTTTATTTTCAGCTTTATTTGTATATGATTATTTTCAACTGGTATGACATTGAACACATTTTCCAACAATTTTGATGAAAAGTTGATTTTATGATTTTAAGTCATTACAAATTGAATGATGGTTTTTAAAGTTATTATTTTTAATTATGTTGATTAATTCATTTTCTGAAAATAGTTTGGAAACCTAGCCAATGTGATGAAAGATGCTGTTTATGGTCATCAACTTTTTTTTGGTGAACAGGACAATAGTAAATCACACCAAAACAAGAATGCCTTCAGCAAAAATTGTAGGTATTTAAGCAGTTATACAAGACACCCCTGACTAGTGCAGGGATTGGATGTGAACAGACGTAGCAGGTCAGTATCTTGTGTACCACATGCCTGTAACATTTCATCTTTCAATCTCTTCACTGCTGTTTTTTTTTTTACATTTGAAAGTTTGTTTTGCTTTTACCCTTGTATTGGTAGATGTTATCTGGCTCAGAATGTTTCCGAAGAAAAGGGTATTTGATGCAAGACTGGCGCAATGAAGAGATTAAAAGGAGCTTGTACCTATAAATGTGGTTTTGAATATGGGTTTTACCAGGATTTTGTGGTGAATGACATCTGGGAGTGCTTTAAGCCACCAAATAAAAAAAAAACTCATTATAAAAGAAATGGTTATAGTCATCATGGATTTTGGTCTTTTAATTGGTTTGTGAAATCCTTGGCAAAATATTGGTACTTTATATGTGAATTCATGAGCTTACAGCACTGTTGCCATGTAAACAAAGGTATACAAGGCAAGAACGGATACATATGTAATTAGGAGATCCCTGATCCACTTCTTGCCATAGTGCGCTTCAAGCTTTTGTGTGTTTATAGGATGCTACCCTATAATGCTTCAATTTAGTGTTTTAAGTTTTAGGAGGGGATGGGGGAGTAGAATGGAGATGAGGAGGGAATGTGACCATACGGATTGGGAAAAGAAATTGTAGGCAATTTATATAAATGAATAAAGAAGTCGGATGCATAAACTAGCACCCATGCTGTTGATTGGAAAATTTGATACAGAATTTACGAATGATATTGGTCACATTACAATCTCCTTCAGATAGCAAATAGGCAAGTGCTTTAACTCTCCCCCATATGATATGTCTATTCTTACTTTTTGGATGAGACTAATATATTTGTAGGCCTTATGGGTAAATGTGTTGCAGGTACTGTGTAAATGAGTAGTTTATGGAAGAATCATTGTATTGAAAAATGTTTATGTACTGTATATATTTGTTTGATTTCTTAAATGATTGAATACTTTTTACTATCCATCTTTATCAAGTATATAATGAGAAAAATATCTGAAAAATGGGTGAAACGGGAAACATTGGAGTTTGATAGACATGCAGGGAATGATCATGAAATTTGGTTTAGATTGGCCCTCCTGATTTCAGTTTTTACATTTGACAAAGTTATCAACTTAAGTGTATATACAGTATAAGAATAGGGGGTAGGGGGTTCAAAGGAGGAATATTGAATAGAGAGAAATGTGTGGAGAATATGTCCAGAGAAGAAAAGAGGAGGAATAAGTGAAGAAATAACCTATCTTGAATGCTAACACACTTGCCCTTCCTCCAGGCTGCTGTCCGCACCTTCACCTCCACCTCAGCCCGCCGAGCTGCCACAGCAACTCACCCTGGCTATGGCAAGATCCGCAGCACCATGAACAAATTCCAGGTTTGTGAAAGGATGAGAATTTGTCATCGAGTACTTTTGTCTCCTTATTCTTCAATAGTAGTCGAATTATAGATTTAATGAAGATTATTGACAATATGAATATTTTTGAGTATATATACATTATATTATATTTGTTGTAGTTACTGGAAAGTCTTTGATTTGTTATAGGTGTGCCAGTTTTTAAAGTCAATATCTCTAGCAGGCAAAGAT